TTAATACACGAGTTTCACAATTTGAGTTGAATTACTGAAATAAATGAACTTTTCCACGACATTCTAATTTATTGAGATGCACCTGTATATGTGTATATATATATATATATAATATTAAAATAAAAGCTACAGGTGATGAGGAGCTTCAGTAGAACAACAGTGAACATTCAGAGAACAGTCAGATGAGATGTTGTCAGGCCATGTCAATAAAAACATATTTTCCTGTCCTGTCAGCCATTATACTGTGCTCATAGCATGTGCTCTTCAATTGCACACACAAATGCAGTGGAGAGCACTGTATATAATTTCATGTTAAAGCACAAATGAAACTACGAGCATGCAATGTTGTAGGTATGTTGTTAAGTCATGAAGTTGATTAAAGCTGCACTTAAACTGTGCATGTAAGTATTTGTTATATATGAGTCAGATTTCAGAACACGTCTGTGAAATGCAGTGGTTTTCAAAACTGTCGTGGAGCAGCAGCACTGTCTCCCTCATCTGACACACTTGATTCAACTCCTCAGCTCTTTAGTGGGTCAGAAAAGGTAAAGCGTTGTGAGAAAATCGGATGCGTGTCAGATCTGCGTCATGTTCAGCAGCAGCAGCTCTTAAAGCAGCCAAAATAACCTCATAACCAGCTGCTGTGATGTCTGTTCATCAAAGAACAAAAGAGGAAATCAGTCACTTTTGAAGTTTTAAGAATTCATCTATATTTAATCTAGAATTTAGTGTTTGATTCAATTTCTGTATATTTCCTACTTGCTGAAGAGCACAGGTAATATGACATGTATTATAATGGGTTTATGTGAAGATAGTTTTAAGTTCACTTAAATTAGACGTTGTTGTTTTTTTAAGTCTAATAAATGTTCAAATTGATTGCTCTCAATTATTCTATAATGTTGAATGGATATAGTCTGGTTAAATATTAGGAAAAAAAATTAATTGAGACATTAGTAGTAGTATTGGTATCAGTGATACTCACCTTCAGTCATAAAAAAGATGCCATTAAACATATTAAAAATATACTGTATTTATGTTGTTTCTACATCAATTTGAAGATTGCATGTGAAATTATTGCAATATAAAAGTATATTTAAAAACTTGTTAGGTGGGATTAATTGCAGTTAATTTCAGAAGAAATGTGCGATTTAGTAAAAATGTTTTATTGACTGACCGCACATATATACACATAGCTTTCATTTATTTTTATTTCATTTTTTAGTTTGTCATTTTAGTATTTTTAACTTATTTTATTTCAGTTGGTGGCCAGAGCAACATTTAAAATATTTGTTTTTAATATTATATTTAATATATTATTATTATTATTATTATTAGATCTGTTTCTATTTTATCTTTGTCAATTATTGGGGTCCAAAAACCCCAAGTTGATCAAATAATTTGCTCATCTGCTTAGATGTTTCTTTAATGGGGTGTTTTTGTATTTCAGAAGAGAGAAGCGTTGCGTCACAGTTTACCCACCAACGGTCACGGGTCACATCTGTCCGGTGAGTGTTTCGCGTCCACACTGACATCATGTAAAATGTTATCAACGAGAAAGAATCTGTCATTACTAAAAGTTTTCTGTATGTGTGTTTATCTACAGCGGTTCATCGGGTTCAGCCGTGGTTCCACGGGGGCGTGTCTCGAAATGAAGCTCAAAGGCTATTGGAGGAGCAGGGTCAGGTGGATGGGTAAGAATGATCTGATTTTTTTGTGTATCATGTACGTTTGCATTGTAAAGTTGTGTTTATACAGGTTTCTCCTGTCTGCAGGATGTTTTTGATTCGTGACAGTCAGCTGCACGTGCAGTGCTTTGTGTTGTCCTTGTGTTATAAACTGAAGACCAAACACTACCTCATCATTCCCGTAAGTCTTTCTGTCTCGCTGTGCTTCAGGTTGTGGATGGTTGAAATACACGAGATATTTTCATCTTGATCTCTCTTTCTTGTTCTCTGTATCTCTGTAGTTAGAGCAAGGGGATAAACAGTACTACACTATGGACGATGGTGTCACGCTGTTTACAGATCTGCTGCAGTTGGTGGAGTTTCACCAGATTAACCGCGGCATCTTACCTGTTTGTCTCAAACATCCCTGCACTTGCATTGCACTCTAAACCTTCAACTTTGACCTCTCCCCCAAACCTAGGACCTAAATGACCCAGCACCAGTCTCTGGATGTCAGGACATTCACAGTTTTTCATAATCCCCCCCAAAAATACTATTTCTGTACATAGTAATTCTATTTATATTTGATATATCTCTAGCACACTTTAGAGAGCATATATAGGTCTTTAATATTGGTTATCCTACCAAAAATACTCTAATAGTTTATGGACTATTTGTTTACAAGCTTATTTGTATTTATCATCCTTCTATCCGGGAATGTTTCTAAACCGGAAAGTGCACAATCATGTGGGAATTTCCTGCTATTCCTTCTTTCAACACTGGGTGGCGCACTGATGCTTTGAATGCTTTACTGCTCATTTATTCTTAATTTATGCAATAGTCATGCAGGGATACATTAATGCATATCTGAAGTTTCATAAGGAGACTATTTCAATGTAGCAGATTTAGTATTAATCTTATTATTATTATTATTATTATTGATATATTTTTTTTCTTCAACACTGTCTAATTTTTGGGTGTTTTTTCATAATACTGACGTTTAAGATAATCGAGGCCAGTTTACGTTTGCTTTATTATATATTTTTATTTCGTTTATTTTGTTTTATCATTGTTTAGTACTTGTTCTGGTTAACAGTTGTACTTGTGCATGTAATTTAATTCTGACCAAAACCTCAAAATGAAGTTGTAAATAAGTAAATGAGTGTTTGTGTTGTTTTAGTAGTTTTAATCGTGTGTACTTGTGTGTTTTTCTGTATGCTTCAGTTAACTTGACATCACCAGTGCATCAGTTGTCAGGTCTCCACTGTGTAGTTGCCATGGAGATTGTTCCTATAATATTCAAGGGAGGTCAGCAGTCCAGGCAGTAGTATGTAGGCTATATATGCTGATTTGCTTGACTCACGTTGAATCAGATGATTGAATGAGATGGTAATTTATTCAGATGTAAGTGAGGTGATCACCTCACCGTAGCTGCTGATAAATCATACATTAATCCTATATTATAAGGGTAAATAAAGGAGACCGTGATCAGTCGGTGAGTCAGGGAAGGACACGCCATTCATCCTGACAATATTAAATATCAATATAGTGTGAACATAAATTTGAGAGTGTAATGAATAATCAATGTGAAATAAGTTCTGATTTCAACCGAGTAAAAAAAGGAAGTTAGTTATCTACATAACTGTTGTGAGCATGGATTCATTTTCATTATATTAATATAAAAATATATGCATTAATGTATAATATTATTATTATTATATAAATTAAATTTCAATTGTATGATATTTTAATCATAACAATTGAATTTGCAATTATGTATGTGTATGTGTACGTGTATATGTATTTATAAATATTTATGAATGTATTATAGTTTATAAATTATATTATTAATTATATTTGATTTATTAATAAAAAATGTGTCATATATAATTGTATAAAATATACATAATATTAATGTATATTTAAATGTATATATATATATATATATATATATATATATATATATATATATATAATTATAATCAATTGAATTTGCAAGTATTTTTTTAAATGTTCATTTTTACAAACGTATTTATTATAATTTATTAATTATATTACTAATTATAATTATTTGGTTTCTTCATAAGTTTTTTCATAATATATATTTAAACAGAAAATATACATAATATTATTGTATAATTAATCATAAAATATAACAGATAATTATAATATATACTTTTAGGTTTATGTATAATTATGTATGTAAATTATATATTGCTCAATCAAGATGATCTAATTTAATAGTATTAAAAAAATTGCAATTATTTATAAATTATATATGTTTATTTATTTAACAAAAAATTATGGAAAACAAAGCTTTGGATTTCACTCATGTATTCATGGAAAACAAATAAAGTGTTTTTTTTATTATTTAAATTTTTTGACAGTGTTCATTCTAAACCTAGCCATTATATAGTTCAGCATTGTTTTGGCTTGTGACTTTTGTGCCCCTTTTTTGTCTTCACCAGCTTGCCGTAGCTCCACCTTACCTACCGCAGACACTCAACCGGTCAGTCACCACTCTTATTTATTTATGAGGTATGATTAATTTAAGATTGAACAATGTCCCCAAACCTGCATAAAAGCTTCATCTCCACCTTTCCAATACACACTTTTATCACACACACACGAACACACTCAGACTGTACCTTACTGTGGTGTTTGAAAGGTGAAGCTCTGCTGAAACTAGGCCACAGACACAGAGAACAACACATGAGGCTCCTCTGAGTTTAAACATGGTGCTCTAATTGGATTCAAAATCGGTTTCATTTGATCAAGATCAGGAGTTCGATTCATTGTTCCAATTAATGCATACATGTGCAAGTAATTCTGAAATCTTATGATTAATTATTCTTACCTTCCAAGTTAAAGTGATTTAACTGAAATAAAATTGGCCACAGTTCTGATCTGCGCAATGCTTCGAGTTGCATTAAATGTATACATATTTCCTGTAGTTTTAAGGATAAAATCAAATGCATTTTGATGTTCGATGTGAACGGAATAGTTTGTCTCTCTTCTGAAGCTCAAATGACACCGAGAGTTTAGTGTGACAGAAGTGGATTGAATTTCAGCTTCTGTTACGGCACGTCTGTTCTGTCCAAAAGTACCTTTGCTGAACAGTTCATTTTTACCTGATGACCAACATAATACAGCAAATCAAATTTAAGATGTATCAACATCTGTTATTGCAATCTTAAAACACTTTCATTTGCTTTTACATTCTGATTTGACTTAAAGTATTTAAGAGTAAATCTATTTTACATACATGCATGATACTTAAAATATAATTTAATATCAATATTATGTAAATTTATTTTAGAAGTTTGTATTATGATATATTTATGTTGTGTTTTATATTGTTTTAATATTAGTATTATACGTATATAATTCTAGAATATTTTCAATTATTTAAAAATATATATTTGATGGAAATAATATTTTAATATATACACTTGCTTAGATTCTGTGGCATTTGTTTATCATAATTATTTAATTTTTGTGTAGTGTGTCATTAAATGGTCATTAAATGATCTATTGATTAAAATATGTAGATAATGTGTATTATTTTGTTTTACATTGAAATATTAGTACTATTATATAATTCTAATTTTTTTTTAAATATATTTTGTTAAATAATACTTTATTATATGCACTTGCTTAGAGTCTGTGTTTTAATACAGTATAATGATTATTATTTTTTTAGAATAATTAGATTAGAATAATACAATTAGAGATGACCTTCATCATCTGTATTTCAATTCTTCTCTCCTGGCTTAATTTTTCCGGAGCTGTATTTGCAAATCAGCCTCTGTAGTTCATGTAGTGTTGCCATCCTGCAATTATCCCTCGTTTTTTCCCCTCTTCACCCATCCGACCCTCCCCCTCTTTCCCTCATGATGGTTCAATCCATGAACCTGCTGAGCCCATGTGTGTAGAGTATCGGTTCACTGTACCTTTTAGAGGAGGAGGGGGGGCTGCTGGTGGAGTGGGGGTTTATATGAATATCAGATGAGCTCAGTTTGTGCCATGCGGGCTTGCTTGGACACACACACACACACACACACACACACACACACACTCACACACACCATGCTGGCCAGCAATATGCTGGTGCAGATGTTTCCCACCGAAGACACAGATCTGAGACAGAGAGAGAGATCAGGATGGGTGTTACAGGAGAAATGAAGGAGGACGAGGCTGCGTAAGACAGCACTGAAAGATAAAGCGAGAGTGGGTGAGCAGACTGGAGGAGAGAAGAAGACAGACAGCACCAGCCTCAGCAGGTATGTGGCGTTGCATCACCGTTATCCTCTAGGATTGAAGATTCCCATCTATTCCCATCATGAAGCAGGTTGAATGCAAAAATGATCCATTGAGAAACCACAAACTGTTCTGGTTTCACACTGACAGATACTGAGAGCTTTGTGCCTTAATGCTGAAGCTCCAGTTTTGATTGCATTTGAATCAATATTCATAAGGCACTTTTTGTTCTAGTCTTCTAGAGTCGGAGGGACAGACAGACAGGCAGAGAGAGACAGACAGGCAGATGCATGTGGATTTTAATGCACTGTAATGGACTCTGCACACAAGCTATATGAACTCCTGTAAGTGTGTGAGCGAATGCCGTGGACCGATGGGATGTGGTGACTGTCTCTCCATCATTTCATGGACTGCAGAGAGAGTGAGACCTCTGGAGAGACAGACGGGGAGAAAGAGTGATCCGAGAGGGAAAAGTCCATCCTCTGCGGGAATACGAGGAGTGATTTCGAGACAGGAAGGTGAAGTAACAAAGGTGCTTTTGAGGTGGAAGCAGAGCTCTGGAAGTGTACAGTAGTTTGATTTGCGAGGAAATATCTTTGAGATTAATCCATGAGATGGGAGGGAGGAATATATGATGGACTGAAAAACAGGGAAGGCAAGAGATATGACAGCAGAGGAGGTGGAGTGAGTAGAGCGAGAGTTGAGCTGTGGAGAAAGGGATGAATGGAGGAAGAGAAGCCCGGGCTGATGTACCCATCAATCCATGATAAATCGGCAAATAATGTTGGGTTGTATAAACGCCCAACTGGTCATATATTGACTTTCGCGGCTCCTGTGCTGAATGGAGCACAAATTGATCATTTCAAACCATAATGACAGTTAGTTCTTAAAAATAAAATTACTTGCCTCATGTTGTTTTAAAACCTTCTTTTAGAATAAATTTTGAAGAAACAATATTGGACTTCATTGACATTGTATGGACAAAAACACTGAGATCTTCTTTTGTGTTCCACAGAAGTACGAAAGTCATACACGGTTTTGGAACGATATGAGTGTGAGTCATGAGGCATTTAGCCTACGTGACACCATTTTCAACAAAAAAAAAAAGGGAAAACTTTTTATGTTTTGGCCGTTCATTTACCATTGTAAATGGTTACGTCATACGCATTCATATTACGTGTTCAGTCTACACTCTTAAAAATAAAGGTGCTTCAAAAGGTTCTTCAAGCGATGCCATAGAAGAACCATTTTTGGTTCCACAAAGAACCATTCAGTCAAAGGTTCTTTGAAGAACCATCTCTTTCTTACCTTTTTATAATCTGAAGAACCTTCTTTCGTCACAAAGAACCTTTTGTGAAACAGAAAGGTTCTTAAGATGTTAAAGGTTCTTTATGGAACCATTTAGACAAAAAGGTTCTTCTATGGCATCGTGAAGCACCTTTATTTTTAAGAGTGTATAGGAATGTGTGCAGATGCGTAGTATTTCTTTACAAAGTGACATCGCCATCTACTGGCCTGGCATGCATAATACAGCGTATAGCAAATTCAGTGCACAGGGCCCAGAATTCCTAGCGACGGCCCTGTTTATATCATAGATGTATAAAACACTGGACGAGCAGATGTTTGTTGTTAAAGGGCTCATATGATGTTGCTAAAAAGAACATTATTGACATGTGGGGGCGTGTTAGAATGAGCCGTTTTAGGTAGGCGTGGTTGACTCTTAACTTTTATAAAGAATATCTCTTTGGATTTGAGACTTTAGTCTTTGCAACTTTACAGATCTTCTTTATGCACCAAGAGCTTGTAACACTCCAAAGAGAAAGGAAAAATTTAAATTGCATCATATGACCCCTTTAAAGGATGAGTAGGGAGGACAGAATTA